GCGAAAACCCAGCTGGAGGGAGCAGGAGACACAAAGCAGCAAGAGCAGGGCCCCTGGTTCCAGCCCTTCCCCCTGCTGGGGGCTGCTTTGTTCCTATGACTCGCCCCTGCACTCTTTCCAGTCAACTCCTACACCAGAGCAAGCAACTGGGTTTTCAGGCCTTGCTGAGTCCCAGGACTAGAATATCTTCAAGGTTGGACTGTTGTCGTTGATATGTTATCACTGAGTCCAGCCAGAACCAACCTACAGTAGGTTTTCAGAGACAGTGAATCACATTGCTCACCGCGTATTCTAACCATGTGCCTTTGGGTTCCAGTGCGACTCCTTACCACAAAGCCACCAGAGCTCCCTAAATGTTGGGTTTCATGGTGAATTTCATTTCAAAGCACTCATTCCTGAGTCGGCCACTACTCCAAGCTCAATTATTCTTCATGCTGAAGAACATCCAGCATCTACACTTTCATTCTCATTGCCATGGAGTTAGAACTGACTTCAGCCGACCCTCCAGCTATGAGCTACTTTACAAGCAACAGCAATTGAGGTATATTATGTAGAATAAAACGGGTTAAGTTCAAGTCCTGTTCTCAAACTTTAAAAAGAAATGTTACTTTGTTCATTAAACATTGTGCTTCTATGTTATATGGGGGGTAAAGGAGTTCTTCCAAATGTAAGCAATAATGAAATCTTTTGATCCATGGCTCTAATTTATAGAAACACTTCATTTTATTGAGTCTTTAAAGTCTTCACCTCCACCAATCTGTATTCTCTCTTATGGTTTTTTTTTTTTTTTTAGTTTTTAATCACAGATCTAACAATTTCTGATCCATTTATTATAGATTGCATTGTATCTCCTCTCCCCCAATATGTAGTATAGATCATGGATTCCTAACCTCTCTGCCCTGCTGGAGGGAGCCCTGGTGGAGTAGTCCATATGGAGTTGTTTTAACCCAAAGACCTCACCTCTCTGTAAGTATGAATCCACCAAGTTCCATGGGGAAAAGATGCGTAATCTCCTCCCATGTCATTTACAGCCTCTGGAAAACCTACTGGAGAATCCACTATGAGTTGGTTCAACTTGCCAACAATGAGTGAATTTTTCTATGCTCTGGGGGTGCAGTCAGGCTGCTAAACAAAAGGTCAGTGGTTTGAATTCACCAATCGCTCTGTGGAAGAAAGATGGGCACTCTCCTCCCATAAAGATTTACAGCTGTTGGGAACCCGATGGAAAGTTGTTTTGAGTAAGAACTGACTCAATGGCCGAGGATGTTTCTATTTATTTATCCGATTTGAGAATGAATTGGCTTTGCTACTTTAAAGAAGCAGGATCAGTGTGGGGTGTTTCTCAAGTCAATCTCTTTTGAGATATAAAAGAGATTAAAGGAGAGTAGAGCAAAGATGGGGAAAGAGAAATGTGAAGACACATGAGGATCACTCCAGAGCAGTGGATAACTCAAGAGCAGAAGTTCAAAGGTGGCAAGGACTTTCCTCCAGAGCCAATAGAGAATGCAAGCGTCCCCTTTGAGCCAGCGGCCTGAATTTGAACTTTCGGCCTCCTAAATGGTGAGAAAATAAAATGTGTTTGTTAAAGTTGTGCATTTGGATTCCTGTTTTAGCTGTACTAGATAACCAAGATACCATTCTTTTATTAAGATGGCAAATTACATACTCTTCTGCTGCATTCTTAACTGAACAAAAACACATTATAATGTCCCTAAGGGCCCAGAGAATCGATTTTTACATAACCTACCCTGAAAGAGGTAACTTTCTGCTCCAGAGCTAACAATTTCCTTCTTATTACTGCACAAACCTCAGATCACTGTCCCAGGGTACACAGTGGTCCCAGGCTCTTCTGCAATGCCCCAAGCATCACTTCTCTGGTGCAGAGCATGACATCTGCTGCCTCCTCATGACCACTTGGAAGGGCATCCCTGGCTGTTTGGATCCTGGGCCCTGAGAAAGGAATACATCCCACATCGTGAAGAGCAGTTGTGAACACCGTATTTTTTGGTGGCCCTCTCTGAAAGATGCCACCTTTGCAGAAGAAGGCTTTTCTTTTTCATGAAGGCAGAAAAATCACATCCAGACCAGTGCCAACAAGTTTATTATGCCACAAATGACTTGTACTCTATACACTTTATCTGAAGTTCCTTACATATTCCATCATTTTCTTTTTCTTTCCAAGAATATCAGGTATCCTTCCTATTGCCCTTGTATACTTTTAGAAAAATTATAGCACAGTTAAAGAAGTGTGTCACTGACAAGCGTGGAGGCAGCATGGTGAAATGGGAAGCAAGCTGGATCAATGGACTAACAGGCTTGGGCTTGAATCTTTGGGCAGCTCACGCTAAGTTTCTAAACTTGACCTTCGCTCTGAGACAATAAATTGCCACGTTTTGTGCTCTCAGAGAACTTCCATGAAGCACGCCCCCAACCCTTAAAAACCATCTACATTTTCTGAGTGAGCTGTCCACCTCCATAAGGTTAGGAGATGCTTTTGAGAATGGACCACCTCCCAGACAGTGAAGAACAATGGTGGCGGTTTCCCAGTTGGTAGGAAAGCATGGATACACTGACCCTTTCCAACTGAATGTTTTCCTCCCATATATTTTCTTACACTTGCAATGGCTAGATTCAGAGAATTTTTGACTTCACATGCTACATATTTAGTCATCTCAGCTGAGTTTTGTAAAGACCACATGATTTGTGGCTCTGTTCTCTTAGCGAGTTAGAGTTGTACCACTGTGAACTGTGGACTCATGATAACAAAGCCCAGACACTGTGTTTTGAAGCTGGTACATATATTTCAACTATCCGAAGGTCTTGACACTTCACTTGCACATACAGTATTTTCCAGGCATTTACCAAGTAGACAAAGTACTGGAGAGATAATATTGCACTGATGAAATAGTAACATTGATAAAGTAGGACAATGTAATTGACTTTATCAGACTCATACCATTTGCATGAAAAAGGCTGAGTTTCTTTGGCTCTTTGTTCTTTCAAGTGCACTGCATGCCTATTCTGAGAGACTTAGGCCTTGGATTAACCTGTCAATTAAATCTTGCACTGTCCACAGTATTCTGCAAGCTGATTTAGTTTTGAACTACAACAACTGGCCATTGGTAGAAATATACCATATATATACATGGAAATTACAAAAATACATTTTATTTATAGTTGACTTTTTTTTTAAGTAACAAAAAACTAACACTATGAAAGATCAACCAGCATACCAAAAAGGATACTACCTAAAACCATCTGAACCAGAGACTCCTCTGGGGATTCCAGGACACAGTATCTCCAGCACATTCCAGAAAGGGCAATTTGCCATTGGGAAATAAAAACAGCTTCCTTGAAAAGTCTGTGCTTTGATAGTTTGAATCTCCCATTCTAATCAGGTCCGTTCCTACTCTTCTCTCATATTTTAAACTCCCACCTTCTTCTCTAGGTAAAGACCAAAGAAACTCATGGGAGGGTGGAAAGATGAATGCAGAAGGAGTTGGAAATAGCTAAAGCTAAATGGATTATGGGGTGAAGGCAGAGCAGGACTCATTCTCCAGCAGACATGGAGTGAGCCCTGACACTGTACACTGTACGTGGCTCCCAGATTTGGCGAGGAAACCAAAGAATTCCCTCTCTTTTCCGTTACCAAAGTCAGTCATGGTTTTGAATGCCTTGATGGACAGTGAACAATTGGCACCATCAGTGCTACAAGGTATGTCCTCTGCCTGGCGCTCTGAAGGCTTTCCCAGTGCCACGGAGGATGATCTGTGACATCCTGGTCACAAGGCTGGCTGCCCTGTTATTTCAACAAATGTCCTCTGCATTCATTAATGATGGAGATCTGGGTAGATCCATACACTTTAGAAGACATTATTTACATTTCAACATAAATTGACAGATTTTCTACATTCATAAGTTTCTACACGTGCTGGCTGCAGCCGAGGGAACCTGGGCCTCCCACTCTGATCTCCCTTGTTGTTGTTAGGTGCTGTCGGGTCAACAACAGATCAGAAGCTTGCCTAATCTTGCATCATTCTCACCATCTCAAGGCATCAACTACTATTTCCTTTGGCACCACTCGGCAGTACATGCAGGACATGATTAAGGAAGGGTCGGAGATTTTTTCTATAAAAGTCGATGTAACTATTATTCTGGAAAAGAGAGACACTCTATTCTCAGGCCACCTTTGACACAGGGCACAGAAATACTTCCACACATAAGTGCTTTTCTTTCATAAGATTCTAAAAGCTCTTAGCACTGGTTCTCTCTCACTGAGATCCTAACTTACAAGGTGCTCTATTTCCAAAGTGATGACACCTTTTAAAATACCACCCCACACACACAAGTCCACTATCCCTTTCCCTTCTTCTTCTCACTTGCCCTTCATCTAATGAATGTGGGATAAGTCCAGGCTATTTCTAGGTGCAGCCAGTGATAGTAACTCATTTTCATTCAATGCATTCAACTTTGAACATGAACTCTGAAAAGAAAAGAACAAGTTCCTCGGCTGGAGTCAGTACCTCATTGATGGACTGGAGATGATTTTTAATGATGACAGTCCCAGCTGAATGAGAGAGAGAGGACAGTCTGGTGCTTAATCCACACTCTTGCATTGGCTTTGACACAGAGACAGGAGTTAACATGCAGAGGTCACCGAAGATAGAGCTAGATATTCTCTCCTGTGGTGATGTATTAAAATGTGGCATTGGACAGGAATCTGTAGGTTAGTCAGTGCCTTATGAGACACTAACACTCCCATGGTTCATACATTTAACACAACAGATTAGCAAGGGCTTTTGATACAGGATCAGCTGACGAAGCCAAGAGTCATTCAAGAGTGTTCTGTTTCTCAGAAGCTCCACCTTAATAGAAACAGAGGGTGAGAAAGACTAACCCAATGTCTACATCTTCTCACAAGTCCCAACATGGTGGGCTTGAGAAATCCAAAGACTGTTTCCTCAAGGTCTTCGAGTCAAGAGTCCCCTGGGGGCAAGGCATTAGACCTGGAACTCAAACATGTCTGTCTGTTTCTTGGCCAGTTTGGCCACCTCTTCCCGGATGGCCTTGACGAGGGCTGCGGTGGAGATGTTGGTCAGAGGTGTGTCAGATGGGTCGTTCTCTGCTAGGCTCTGCTGCGAGGCTGCTGTGGAGGGTGCGGGGGCCTGCTCCAGGCTGGGGTGCAGGCTGGATGGCTGACTGTACTGGCGAGGCAGCCTGGAGGGTGAGTTCTGCTGATAACGCGACCGAGGGTAAGCTTCAATGTATCCTGGCAGAGGGACCTGCAGAGGACATTGGGTGAGAAAGGTCTAGATTAGGTAGGTGCTCAAGTCACAGGATGTTCTTAATACTGGAAGCAGTAGGGATGTGGAGATATGGATAAGGAAAGACATGAAGAGGTAACGGAGGCCACTGTCCAGGTGTAATCCTGTGATGACTTTATTAGCAAGTAGATATTTTGGACTCACAGACTATGCTGGTGTTGTGAATGAACTAGATGTTTTAACCTTTGCTGATATCTAGCTACCTCATTAATAAGCATAATCAAGCAAATAAAACTTGTTTTGGGGTAAAAAAGGAACCTAGGATATATTATTGCAATAATAGCTAACTTTGGTTGAGTACCTACTGTTTGCTAGATCTCGTGCTAAGAGTTTTATATGCAGCATCTCATTTAATTCTCAGTACAACAACCTATGAAGTAGATATTGCTATCATTAATTTACAGATGAGGAAATTGAAGCAAAGAGAGTGATGACACAGTCCATGGTGACATAGTTAAAAAGCCTCTAAGTCATGCTTGGAGACCCCATGTGTATCAGTAGGACTGTGATTCACAGGGTTTTCAACTGCTGACTTCTTGGAAATGGATCACCAGGTCTTTCCGCTGAGGCACTTCCAAGTGGAACCCTAACATCCAAATCTGTTGTTAGCAGCTAAATGCTTTACTGTTTGCACCACCAGAAACTACATGGGATTCCATGACATTGGTCTGCTTGAGGGCAATTGTTGGGAACATGTCTGTCTGGCACCAAAGGAGGGACTCAGTCACTGTCCTATGAAGACTTAAGTTGAGGAATGATGTTGATTTTATGAAAATATTTTCTTTTCTTTACAAACACAGGACAAAAATGTCTACACTTGAATGTACAGAAACTTCTGGAAATAGGGACAAATGGATAATTTGGGATGCAGGCTCAACTTCTGCACAGAAACATGAGGATGCTCTTCTAGGGTAGCTGTAAAAGGAGCAGATGCAACGGGGGGTTGGCTGAGTCTGATTTCTATCTACTTCATAAAAGGGAACTTTCCTCATCAATAATATCCATAGTACTAAATTAGCTGAAAGGTCAGACATGCCTTCTCCCATGCTCCTATACCTTTCCCTACCAATCATTGGATCAGATGTTTGTTGCAAGACTCACAAACTTTACTCACAGTTGTGGGGTTTATTAGGAAAATAGGTTGGAGAGTGGGGGAGGTAAAGAATATGCAAGTCCAGGTTTAGTCCAGAAGTCCCAAGCCAGATTAAAAAGGCAAAATTCCTCAATTAGTGAATGACAGTTTCACAGTCAACAAGTGAAAGTTTAGGTTCAGTTCAGCAACACAAACATATGAAGCCTCTGGTTTCCTCAATCACCTAGTAAACCTTTTCTCAGAGCAGTTATAAGTCATCTTTTCCTTCAATTATTCAGCAAGCAAAACCATTAACTGTGGCTTTTTATCTCCAGGTTTACTCTGGTTATCTTGCCATAGTCTCTTCACACTCTCTCCACCACCATCTCGCACAGTATCTTCACAGTTCCTCTACCACCATCTCTCATAAGGTGGAAAGTGTTCTCTTATATTGGTCCCACAGCTGTTAATGATTTGCAAGCCCATGTGTCCACAATTAAGGCAGCTGGAGATCATGCCCTCCCCCTCCCCAATAGGGGCTAATGCAATGGCTAGAAAAGTCATTTTTGAGCATTCTTATACCCTAGTAGCTCACAAAAGAATATGCCTTTAGAAGTATCACATGCTGCATGTTAGTCTGGAATTCTGCGAAGTGCACATTGTGCTGGTGGCTGGGACAGAAAAAGGACTTAGCCCCACAGAAGTGGCCTCAGGACAATATTAAGAAGAAGAGAAGGAGATGTAAGTAGGAGCCAGCCCACCTTGTTAGCTCAAATTCAGGAATGGCAAATTCCACACCTCCCCAAGCCAAAGTCTATGACAGACATCACCAACTGATCACAGCACAGTTTCCTGCTCAGCCTGGCAGTCTCCACATCTATCCCTTCTCCAAGAAGAATCAATCAGAGGTACCTTCAATGATGAAATCTACTTTCCACCCAGGGACTAGGTAATTTTATCCAAGCCATCTCCTTAGATCTAAGAGGTCAGACATCCACATGATAAAGGGGACTAGCTCCTTTTCACACAGATGTGCAAGGTATACAGTAAACCTGCTCTAATCTAGTATCTTTCTCAAGATGAGCTTCCTGAACTGCCTTTGCATGTCATAAATCACCTGTCTCCGGCTCAGTCCCTGGTGTCAGAGCTCTGTGCTCTGGGCACATCCCCCTGCTTAATTGCAGATCTTCTACAAGAGAGATGGGCAATCTCTTTCCTTGTGATTTACAGCCTCTGAAAAATTCACTTAAGGGTCAAAAGTGGGTTGACTCAACAACACGTTACAACAACTGAATCTCCTTTAGTCCAGGCTGGGGCACAGCCACTGTGCCTTCTAGACCTAATTCTTGCTTACTGGTTATCTCATTATCTGATATTTCACATTTATGACAATTGTGAACATAATACCATATTTTTTTTTTAATTAATCACATGCCTGGCAGTTATGGACACGGAGGTGAGAGTAACGCACATGTGATGGTTAAGGTTATGTGTTAACTTAGCTGGGGCCTTGGTTCTCAGGCCTGGAAGCCATCTAATGAAGTGGTTATCCTCCACTTTTGTACAATGCCTTGGTCTTTAGAACCTTATCATGCTAATAAATGAAGAGTGGGTGTAGTCCTATATGGGAATACAATTCTCAAGGGAAATCAGGATGAACACCTAAGTCATTCAGTGCAGCGTTCTGGGTTTTTCATTGAAATTTTTACAGCATCTCATATACGAAAGAAACAAATTTCATAGACTTAAGAGCTGGACAAATGTCTTAGAGAAGAGAGGTCATCTGTCCAGGCCTCAGTTTTCTCATCTTTGAAATGGGAATATTGAAGGGAACAGAACACCTACCTGGTGAGATTGTTGTAAAGATCAAACAAGATAATCTAAACATACATGATACTGATGGGCACAAGATTAATAAATGGGAATTATTATTACAAAACATTATTTTAAAGAAGCCACTTAAGGTCACCCTGTTAAGAAGTACAACCTGGACTTGAAGGTCTTCATTCGGAGGTAGTTGTTTTTAGATGTCATTTAGTTGATTTTCAACTCACATCAACCCCATGTGACAAAGCAGAACTGACCCATAGAGTTTGGTGGCCCAGTGGTGAGAAACTGCATTGCAATCCCAAAGACAAGTGGTTCAAATCCACTCGCTGCTCCGCAGCAGAAGTTTGAACAATTTCTTCCTTTATAATTAAATCTTCTGAAAACCCACTGGAGGGTCAGAGATGGATTGGTTCCAACTCGAAAGCAAACAATAACAACAATCTTTACAGGAAGTACCAGTGAGCTCTAATGGCCTAGTGGTAAGAAGGTTAGCTGCAATTTCAAAGGCATGAGGTTCAAATCTACCAGCTGCTCTGTGGTAGAAACATGGGCAATATCCTCCCGTGCGATTTACTGCCTCTGAAAACCTGCTGGAGGGTCAGCTATGGGTTGGTTTCAATTCCATGGCACGCAACAACAATCTTTATAGGTCTTTATAGGGGTAGTCAGTCAGGTCTTTCTTCTGTGGAACCAATGGGTGGGATTGAACTTCCATTAGCAGAAGACTTTTAAACTGCTGTGACAGCAGGGTTTTTGTATCCAAGGACTCCTGTCCACATTGCTTCTGTAAAAATGGCTGTTAACCACCTGGCTGACAGGAGGGGCTGAAGTAAAATAATACTTAATCTCAACCTTTTACCCTATTTTCTCTGTGTGAGGCATGAGAGTTTTCTTGAGAGAAACAGCAAGGGTCTCACCGAATCGGCCCACTGGCCTGGAAGCTCATTCTCTCCTGCATAGGACATCCAGGCCTGGTTCCTGTAGGACGAGGGAGGCGTTGGGATGAAGTAGCCTGTGAAGCCTGGTCTGTTGGCAGCTGGGATGGCAAACACTGCTGGCACCGTATTACCTGGCAGGACGGAGATGGATGAGCAGATTAGGAGAGGCTCATCTCAGGGATCCAGTCACTTAAGGACAAAATGAAGGCCTCCTAACTGTCTGCTGTATTTGAAGTTGCATATAATTGAGTCTGAGTTGAGAGGGGCTTGCTCTGGCTATAACATTTGTGCGCAGATGGAGCTCCATCTAAGGTAAGCTGGACCCTGCTTGTTATGGCCCAAGACTCAGGTAGTTTAGCAATAGAGAGGAGACTGGGACATGGAAAAGGGGACCTTCCTTCCTTATGGGCTCATTCAGGGCTATTGGGTACAGCTGCGGAGGTAGTGCACTATTTAAGGACACCCACCTTGGAGTCAAATAGGGCTAAAATTCACCCTCTATTCTTTTTGTTTGGGCTGGAGGTTCTGTTTTTGCTTAGAGGAAGGGAAGCTTTCTTCCAATTTCACTACAATGCAGTGTGAGCTAATAATGCTCCTTCTCCATCACCCTATTCCCCTAAACAGGGAGACGTGGACCCAGCTAGCACCTCATCCACTTAGGCTACACTTCTACAGACTGAAACTGAGCAAGGAGGATTGAACACTGGGCCCCAGTGAGGGATGAGGGACCAAGGGCCTGGGGCTGGGTAACACTCCACAGCTGACCTACAGTGAATGCTTTGTCAACAATGTTGATGACTGGAGACTTGCCTTAAAGATGTGGTATAAGTAAGTGAAGAAAAAAATTAAAGATGAGAAGGGTTATCCTGGTGGAGGGTGGAGGTGGGAAGTAAGTGGGTCAAGGCACTGGGCTAAG